CCACGGGCCCAGATAAAATAAAAAAGCCGGGCCCGTGCTTTGGCCGTGCCGGATACCTGCTTGCGCTATGTTTTCGGAGGGCCTTCGCCAAAAGGTGCGCGAGGGGCAAGAACGCCGGCAAGAACCTTTTCAGCGACCAGGGCATTCTTCGGGCGAGATTCTCGGCCAAACAGGAGGTGTGGCGCACGATGCAGCGCGAGCGTCAGGCTCTCGCCCTCGCGGGGGGAGCCCTTCAACGAGACGGCGTACCCGCCTGATGTGGCGGCCGCTGGAGGCGGCGCTGAGACGTGGGAGTATGGCCTCGGTCTCGACTATCTGCAGGAACTCTTCGTGCCGACTGTCTTCGAGGAGGATGACGGCGATTACATGGCCGTCAACGACACGGCGCGTATCAATGTCTCGAGCGAGGAGCGTGGCCTTTCGCCAGCGCGCATTACGGGCCTGCCGTCTGACGTTGACAACCTTGCGCCGCCCCTCGTGCACGCCGGCGTCGAGCTGGAGGAGCAGCACAAGGATGAGGCTGCACACTGGGACGCCGTGCCCCTCTATACCGACTATTATACCGGCCGCATCCCCGTCGGCGTCCACCACAACGCGCATCGCGATGGAATGAAGGGCCCGCGGTTGAAGATGTGGTGGGACAAGAACTGGTTTCACCCTTTCCTGCGTGATATCGTCGCCGCGCGCGAAGTTCGCCCCATAAAGCTCGCCCCTCTAGCGGTTATCAAGGCGACAAGCTCATGGGCACCGGACGTGGTGTACTGGCCTCCTGCCACCGACGCCGAGAGGAGGCGCCCTCGCATCTTCGATCGTAAGACGTTGAGCCAGGGGCTCGACGAGGCCGAGTGGCATACCCTGTGTCGAAAGCAGGGAGAGAGGCCTTGGTGGGATATCATTTTTGATGACGACAGGGGACCTGAGGACCTTGGGCCCCAAAAAGCGGCGAATGCTGTCAAGCCCGAGGTCGAGGTGAAGGAGCCGGGAGAAGAAACAAAAGCCGATGAGAAGCCCCAGGATAAAGGGCAAGGCGAAAGGAAGCCTGTAGACGTAGCCATCATCAAGAGATAGCGAGGCCAAATACCTGTCTGTACTTGATATCATAGCATTTCGTGATCAACAATACCCCGACGAAATAATAATATTCCAACATGACGTTTTACCGTCACTTATCCTGAGGTATCTCATTTCTCTCCTTCTCTGTGGCGACAGCGGCGTCCTGCCGATCTGTCTCTTGTAGCTGTAAAATGCAAAACCTTGCCGCCTTGACAAATGAAAAATGAAAACAAAAACAAAAGGTCCGTCTACCCAAATGCGCCGGGATTTCTCTGCTGTTTTCGCTTCGTGCTCGTCTTGTTGGGTTGCATCCGGATTGAAGGATGAACACAGCCACCCTCTATGGGCTACTCGTGGATTGGAATCGACCTGCGCACTCCAGTCGTCTCATGATGTGCCGGTGACTGCCTTTCCCTTGCCAGCCGACACGAATTCGTCCTTGTATAGGCCGTTGGCTTCGATGTAGTCCATGACCTCGCGGGGCACGTGCTGTGTGCATGTCAGCTGAGGATCGTCCAGGGAAGTTTATCTAGTGCCTCGAGGGCCAGACGACAGGATCGGGCTCGAGGACCTACATATTCGATGCTCATATTTCCCTTGAGCAGGAGGCGCAACATGGTGCTAGACATGGGGTTTGAAATGATGGCGGGGATGTAATGAATGTTGTCCTTGTACTCCTGGAGATTTGAAAGGGCCTGGTCGAAGTTGCTGCTAGCGCGCTCGACGACGAAGGCGCCAAAGTCGCCGAGAATATGCTGCAAATCGCGGGCTGACCAAATGTTGGGTTGACCCATGGTCTCGACAAGATCAGCCCCAGCGAGAAGGGCAATGCGAACCTTCTTCCCTCCGCAGCCGCCGCGTAACTCATTGATCTCGTAATTAAAGTGATCGAGGACGATAGCCGTGGGCACGTACGAGGCCTGCTGCGCCTCCCAGGAATCGACCATGAGGGGTTGTCGGGCGGCCTTGACGGCTAGTTGGCACATCTCGACACTAGGACTAGGTTAGCGTCGTGTCGTGGAGTCTGCATAGAGAAAACGCATACCGATCGTGTGCCCTCGCAAGGCCCTTCTTCTTGTACGCATCGGATACAGGGCTAAGATAGGCACCGATGACCTCGTAGTTGGTCTCGGTGCGGGCGTAGTCGGCCGCCATGGCGAACATTTCTACGACCAATCAGCAACTGGATCTGCAGGAAAGGGCATGGCGGCATGCTGCATGACATGACATGCAGGTCAACGTAGTACGCCGCGGTCCAGCTCGTGCCGCCGGACAACCGCGGCAAGAACAAGAACGAGGCGGGTGGTTACACAGAACAAGTCGTGGCGGAACAAGTTGGGAGTACTCACGCAAGTGCACATAGTGCACGGGGCTGAATGAGCCGCAGGCAACGAGAATGAGAGGGTCGCGTTCGGGATTGTCGAGTTCGCGTCGCAAACGAGAGTCTGGAAAGGTGTATCCTGGTGGCGTCATGGCCAGGAGGCTGTCGGGAGAGGTGGCCATGGCGAAGATGGCGGAAGTGGGAGGGAGGGGTTGGCAGCTTTTGACGAGGGGTATGCGCGGAGATGGCCGACGGGGAGATGGTCGGCGTGCGAAGCGGCTGTCGGTCTCGGCAACAATCAGAAGAGATGCGGGTTGAGAACTGGTCAACAGACGAGAATAATAGCCCCCGCGAGGGGAGCGTGTGTGAAGTTGTTGAGTAGAGTCCTGGGAGAGGAAATCGCCGGTCGCGGCGGAAGAGTCAGCGGGCGGTTGTCTTGAGGGAACTTGATTGAATCGGCCGGGTTGACGGGGCCATCTTGGCGACGTCATGTGCGACACGGGACAGGAAAATGCGATGATGGAGGGGTAAGAGTTGGACGTACCAGGAGTGGGAGGCCAATCGAGAATCGAGCGCAATCGCTGGGATAAGGATGGACAGCGGGATTGACGGGGGGCGGCTGATGATGTGTGTGTCTGAGACGAATTGCTGAAGAAGATGAGTAACAAGAAGAAAGCAAGAAGAGTCAAGGCGAAGCGATGAAAAGTCCCCAGCCGAAAGAGCAAATGGACTAATAAGACTCAGGTAAGCCAGAGAGAAAGATGGAATGGACCTGCCGTTGAGTCGAGCCCAGACCGGCGAAACACTGACGCCTGCGGCAGTAGCACTCGACACTACGCTGGCTGCCTGCGGTGTTTTAGTGTCGTGCTTGCCCAGCCTGGGTATTGCTTGGGAGGGAGGGGTGCCTGGGAAGGAAAGACCACCTCAATCGGACCAATAGTATTATCAGATCAAGGGCTGACTCAACCACACCCACACCAGAGGGAGACCCGATGGCGGCATCGACCCTGAGCCTGCGCCTTCCGCCTGCAAATGCACCACACAAGACGGTCATGTGACCCACTTGCTGTGAGTTGGATTACATAACCCAGCGTATGGGCTTTCCTCCTGATCAAGTGGTCCGCCAATGCTTGTGTTTCCATCATGACCATCACACGGTCGAGGGGCTCACCAGAACACAGCTTTATTACGGTTGACCAATTTCCTCAGTCTCCGATCTTCGATATTCGAATCTGATACCAAACCAACCAACGCAATTTCCTGTAATCTGCATTCGCCCCCGACCGAGCAAGGCCAAAGCAGCCTGTCATGGATTTGTCCACATTGGCGAAGCCATACCCACAGACCTATGGACATGGGCCTCTCCCGCAAATGCCACACGTGCTCTGACCCCCGACATCGCAGTCTCCTCGGGATCTGATTTCTTTTCCCCGATCTCATGGCCGGAACACCGGATCCAGCTGCAGCCGGTTGTCCGCTCATTCTGCCCTCTCTACCCATCCGGCTCGGTCCGTTGCGGACCACTTGTGCCTTTCCTTCCCTGTCCGTCGGGAACCTTAGTTTCTTGCTCCTTGATGCCACGCACCTCAGCGGCCTCTACCAGGTAGGTGCTGCTCTGCACTGGCATCTACTGCTGGAAGGGAAGGACACCCCATCCGGGGCATCCACTGAAATGCCAATACCTGCATAGCCCGTTTGGGATAAAGGATAACACCCAGCGCCATGTTTTTGGGGGTGCACAATCAACTGACTTATACCACACCTGCTGCCCAGTATTCCGAGCGAACTTCTCCTCAGTCGGTTCGTCATACATGTCAAATGCTTGATCGATGCCTGGATGAGCTGGGCCCGCGATTGAGCTCTCGTGCACAGGAGAGGCCAATGAAAGCTGCCTTGCGATTGCACGATTACCGCCAACACGGGACTCGCCGTGGTACAGATATCCCATCTCGTATGTCAGTATCATGGGCTCATCTCAGATTCGATACGACAGGTAGAGGTGCTCACGGTACCAGAAGCAGCTCACTTTCAACAGGATGCTGTGGATGTTCATTCGATGTTGCTGCTCTCCACAACCAACAGCGAGCCGAACCCACGTTTCAAGCTTTAGTTCACTCAGGTTTACTGCCAATAGCTGAATAGTTGAAACTGCCACAATATACCATGAGTTTGGTCAACTGGCCCTACCGGGGCCGGAGGTCATGCCACGGTACAATTCCTGAGCTTCCTCAATGGCACACGACATTGCTATCGCGCTTCATCTCAGCAAAAGTTCGATTTGCAACGTTTTGCAACGATGCAGTGGCAGTCTGCTTGTGACTTGCCACCTGCGCTGCTTGCACGGAACTCTTTCGGCAATCAAACTTCAAACCTACATCGTTGGTCGTGTCAGCACACGCCGTTCACATGACCCAAGAGCGAACTATGCGTCGCATCATCCGTCGCAAGCTCAGCCATGAAAGTCGGATTCAGAAGTAAATTTTCATGTCTTGATTGAAGCGAAGTGCGACGTTAAGTATTGCAAAGAGGGGCAGTAACCATGTAGCCGCAACAGCTACTGCGTTGCGCCCAAAAAGCGCAACCAAAGGCGAGGATCACTAACCAGATCAGTACAGCCTTGCAGTGACCCGAATTGGGAACCCTCCGAAGCCCGTCCTCTCGACCCCGAGGCGCCCTGCTCTGCCGCGCAAAGTGTCCATGATACAGCATCCTCTAGCCACCACTCCAGCAGATGATCAGCGGCGTGCCCTGTGAGGCTCGGTCATTCCACCAATCGTACCGAGATGCAGCGAGCAGCGAATACAAGAAAGACCCCTTGGCTGCCACACTGATGTTTCTGGAATCTGTCGAATGCTCCGAGCTCCGTGATTGCAGGCACACTTCCCCAGCATTTCACTTGACTTTGGCGCCGCGCTGCTGACCCAAAGCAGCCCCGACTGCCGTTGCCACGACCCCACAATTGCCCCTGATATGTAGAGTCGAAGCAAGCTCGCGTCACTTAAGGTGCTTCCCTGCAAGGTCCATGAGCACGACAGCGTGCTCCAGCTGGCCCGGCCTTGCAGAAGGATGGGGTACATAAATCTGGGGTACAAATAACAGAAGAGGTCCAGTCCTGCGCGGGCCCACGATACCAAGCCCTCTCCCGCTCATTGTTCATGCACCCCGGGTTCTCTCAAGGAAACAAGCCATGAAGTTCTCCATCCAGTCTCTCCTCGGCGCCTCAGCCCTGCTGGCCTCTGCTGCTGATGCCCAGCAGCTCGCCTTCCCTGGAGCCGAGGGTTTCGGCCGATTCGCTACCGGTGGTCGCACTGGTAGCGTCTACAAGGTGACCAACCTGAAGTGAGCTGCGCCCTTAGCGTGCTAGTCTTGCATTTCGAATCTAACCATACGTTAGTGACTCGGGTGCCGGATCCCTTCGTGATGCCGTCTCAAAGCCCAACCGCATCGTTGTGTTCGATGTGGGTGGCGTCATCGACATCGACACTCGCATTGTTGTGTCCGCCAACGTCTACATCGCTGGCCAGACCGCACCAGGTGACGTGAGTCTGTTCTGAGCCTCGAGCTTTCAACTGGGTAACTGACTATGACAAAGGGTATCACCGTCTACGGCAACGGCTTCTCCTGGTCAAACGCACACAATGCCATCACCAGGTACATCCGCATCCGCATGGGCCGCGGCGGCGACAGCGGCAAGGACGCCGTCACCATCGCCGAAGGCCGGAACATGATCTTCGACCACGTGTCCGTCTCCTGGGGCCGTGACGAAAACTTCTCCGTCAGCGGCAGCGCTGTCAACATTACCGTGCAGGACACCATCATCGCCCAGGGGCTGCAGACCCATTCTTGCGGCGGCCTGATGGAGACCGAGGGCGGCGGAA